GTACCATAGGTCATAGTCTTTTATGGTATATACTGTGGCGCCATGTTTATCTGAACACTTCACCTTCCAGATGCTATTTTTCGGGAATAGATTTTTTCCATGTCATTCTGTCTCATTAATCCAGAAAAATGTGTTCCGCATCCGGATGGTCGATTTCTACTACAAAACGTAATAGTTCATTGAAAAATGCCTCGTTTATCCGGACGGTAATTTTTCAAGAAATGACTTTTTCACACTTATCTTCAGGGGTTGAAATTTTCCTGGAAATCCCACTAGCCCAGGGGCTACTGATCAGGAAAAAATTACTAGCCCAAACTAACCAGCCCAACAATTTTTTTATGCAAAATGAAAACAAAAAGTTAAAGTTTTGAATGTTTTGGTGACAGAAACAAACTAGTTCTCAGTCAAAAGAAACCAGTCTTCATAGAAAAATGAAAGTAAACTGACGAGAATTTTTTTTCTGTTCTGCTAGTCCGACAGACTATCATTACATTTAAATAAGCTAGCCCCAGTCTTAAAATAACTAGCCCCGGGGCGTCGGGCTACCGTATATTACAACCCCTGATCTTGCAGTAGTGTTAATTGTAGTAAAAACATTGGCCATGCAGTCAGTTTGAAGGGGATACCTGTGACCTACAAACAATAGCATCTAAAATTAGCGTGTATTTACCCCAATTAAATTACACGTCTAATATGAAGCTCGAAGAATTTAGCTTACACCAGTACACTGTGCAATAATTAAATAAGAAACAGTTCAAAATTAATCAATATTATTTTTAACAAACTAATTAAGCCAAAGAGGCATCCAGATCAACAAGGCGCCACTGTATATATTATATGATACATGCATATAAATGTACTTGCTATTAACAGTGAGTACAATAAAATTTTCCCATTAAGTATATTAATTTTTTTCTATGTGGTTTACTTTATGCCCAATAATATCAGCAGTTTCCTTAATGGCCATATTTAATAGGGGTGAAACGATACACCTCCTTCACGGTTCGATACGTATTGTATAATTTTGTCTCGGTTCGGTTATTTTCGATACGATACATTTTGATAGAAGGAAACAAATTCTACGTTGTTTTATGCTTTCTTTTTCTAAATCTAGTCACATATTTTACGAATTTTATTTGCAAATTGACTAGAAGAAATTGATTAAAATTATTTGACTGTCAAAAATTATTTTACAAGCTATCAGTCATCAAAAATTAACGTTTTCTATACTTATTTATACTGAGTAACGTGTTATACCTTATGCCAAACCCGACTGAATAACGATCCCGACCGAAAAATGAACCGAACCGAAAATTTGAGATTTTGCACCGTGTATCAAACCGAGAAAAAATACCGCGGTGCATCGATACCGCGGTGAACCGTTTCACTCCTAATATTTAAGTATAAGAACTAGGTTGCTATAGCAGACAAAAGGTATAAAAATCTTAAGTGCACGGTACTTTATCACTCATTGAATGTTAATTAGGGCCTGCATGAAATGTTAAAGCTATATAAGATTCACATTGTCCATCTTTATGTCTTTCAGCCAGCAATTAACACTTCAGTTGTGACACAATAAACAAGTTTTAATTTATGCAGTGTAATACTATACAGGGTATTGATGCATACAGTAAATGAGATCATTAGAATGGTGTATTTATATACTGTATATACTTGATATCAACAATTTTTCTCAGTGGTCTACTTTATGCCCGATTATAAGTGGTCTCCTCAATGGCCATATTTAAGTATAACATATGTATAAGTACAAGTTGCTATAGCAGACAAAGGTAAATATAAAAATCTAAGTGCAAGGTACTTTATCACTGATGGAATGTTAATTAGGGCCTGCATGAAATGATAAAGCTCTATAGGATTCACATATTGTCCATCTTTATGTCTTTCAGTCTAGCAACACTTCAGTTGTGACACAATAAATAAGTTTTAATTTGATATGCAGTATAATATAATACAGGGTATTGATGCATATAGTGAATAAGATCATTAGAATGGTATATTTATATACAGTAAATACTTGATATCAAGGGTTAATTCAATTTACTCAATTTTTCTCAGTGGTCTACTTTATGCCTAATTATAAGTGGTCTCCTCAATGGCCATATTTAAGTACATGTATAAGTACAGGTTACCATTGAAGACAAAAGGCATATACAAAACTCTAAAGACCATGATACTTTGATACTGATTGAATGCTAATCTGGACCCTTGAAAAGCACGTACTCTTAGTCTTATTTATATGACAATGTGTGGTTTTGATATAAGTTAACTGAATTACCTAGGTAACCATGGTAACATATTTCTATCTGTTTTTTGTATGTTTTTGCATGAGCAAGGGCTTGGGTCATGCATAAACTTTTCACATTTTTCAACTTCTTCTCAAGAACTACTGGACTAGTTTAAATCAAACTTGTCACAAAGTATCTTTAAAATAAGGATGGCAATGATTAACTGGTTTATTAACTATTGAGAAAGATCATAACCAGTTGAAATTTTCATAACCAGTTTTGTAACCAGTTACAATTTACATACTAACCACTTAGTAGATAGTAGTGATGGCAATCGAATACAGAATTGCAAATCGGTTAACCGCAAAACGTTCCTACCGATTAACCGGTTAATCGTATCAAACTACACAATGTCATTTTCTTGACTTTTTTCAAGTAGCTCTATTCCTATGCACAAGAAGTCTTTAAAAAAGATGTTAGAGGTCAAAATCATTCTATTTGTCTTTAGTGTTGATCATAAAACTACGTGCATATTTTTTTTCAATAGACAAGAAAAAATTCAGAAAACCATGAACCATGCCTGAGATATCGTGGATAATTTTCCAGAGCGGATGTCACACAAGTTCATTCTTCATTATCACCATAATCAAAACTAAGTCTAAAATGTATCACTTAATTTACAATGTTTGTATTATAATTTAATGTGATAGATAACTGCAAAAGATACACACACACCAATTCACGGTGCTCAACGGTGATTATTATCATTAAAGAATTAGAGGACAGTCGGGGTAACGACATGATGTTTTAACAGTAATTAACATATCTCAGACTGACCAATTACCCTGCAGTTGTAATCTGGAGAGCCATAATGACCTCCCAATCAGCCTAAATAAATAAATGAAAACGCTAAATTAAACGTTTAGGTAGGAATTTCTATTTTGAAAATGAATTTTAGTACATTGCCTTCAGTTTTACATATATTATAATATTTTTTCGACTTATCGATTGCAGATTTTCTAACTGATTGCCATCATTCCGACCGAGTAATCGGTTAACCAGTTAGAAATTGCCATCCCTAGTAGATAGTTTTTGTCAATGAGTATTTGTATTTACTTTTTCAGTAATATTTTCATTTTTTGAAATAAAACTTGTAACATGTTTCAAACTGAAATGTGACAATCAAGAAGTTACCATATCTTGCCGAATGTAATATGCATTGGTTTAAATATGCACCCCCTTTTTCAGCCTATAACTTGGGGAAAATTGCAGCTTGGTTGTAAAGATTATTTGCTACAAAATCTTATTTCCTACAGGGCACAAGTTATTTAAACATTAAGATTTTAACAGACTTGAAATTTCTTTGACAATAACTTAAAGATAAGTCACTTGACATATGATAAGCGTTTGATACGTTGTAATCAACACACACCCAAAGCTTAAAAAAATGAAGAACGAAGGTTATAAATCGACCTCTCAAATATGAAACAGGGCTCTCAATTGTCTATAATTGGGGCCGTTCAAGGGCCCCACTCCCAATTCAAAAAAGGTACCTTTTTTCCCAATTAATGTGTTAATTTTCCCAATAGTCATTTCTCCCAAAAATTAAAGAAAATATAGCTGGATATACAGTACCAACCAGACCCAACCTGACACCAAAGCAGTCCCAGAAAGCAGTCCCCGGGACTGCTTTGGGACCGCTCTGGGACTGCTGTGGGACTGCTCTGGGACCGCTGTGGGACTGCTCTGGGACCGCTATGGGACTGCTCTGGGACTGCTGTGGGACTGCTCTAGAAAGCAGACCCAGCAGTCCCAGCAGTCCCTGGGACTGCTTTCTGGGACTGCTTTCTGGGACTGCTTTGTTCACTCATGCGTGAAAAAGGTTCTGAGTGACATGATAGCTCCGCCCCTTGTGTATTCTGAATTTGCAGCTCCTTGTTGTTGTTTTGTTTACTTTCTGCAGAGAGGTGTTTAAGATAGAAACAAATATAAAAAAACAAGTATTAATTTCTTACAAAAATTAAATAAATAGAGATAGTTATATATGTAATTACTAAATGTCTTAAGACGGCTGTAAATTTACACAATTGTAGTCTAGAATTAATTTTAAGAAAATAAAAGTAGTTAAAAAAGGGAAGTCAGGGGATGATTTTTATCCCTTAAATTACACTTCAATACAGGTGTTTGAAAAAAAAATTATCTAGGCCTATTTAATAAATTAATGCTGTCAAATTACATATGTACTCAAAGTTTGCATTAGCACTATTTAAAAACAAACAAACTTGTCATTTCAGTAAGATACATGTATTCAGAGGAACGTACTGTACTGGATTTTTTTTCTTAATTGAAAAAGCTAATACCATGCTTAAAAAAGAGCACTCCATGCTATTTTTTACCATCCTCAAATCAAACCTAATAATTTATTTAATGACCATGAAATAAAATTATTCTACCATTCTTCTGTCACATAAACAATGTGAACAATTATTCGGGGATTTATTTATGAATTAGTTTTTAATTTATAAACAAGTTATTAAAAGAGTACATTTATTTAGAAAATAAACATTTGAAAATATCGGGAATTGTGACTTGTTTCTTATTTCTTTGTTTGTGTTTACCTGGCCGGTTAATACAGCTGGATTGTATAAAATGGTGTCAACACCTGAGCTTTCAATCACCTTTGGGCATAATTAGCAGAAAGTCAATGCATGTTATTTGGGTATCAGTGTTACACATCATTGAACACGCTGGTCAACATTGACCCTTATTTCAATCTATGTCCTGCAAAAAATCTTAGTTTCAATAATTGTGTATAAATTTATTTCGGGATTAATTAATTTTGAACATAATCTAAGGGTTCCATTTGCGTGATTTACAGATGTACACTCGAACATTTATATAATAAAACACTTAAAACTGAGAATCTAAAGATAATTTAATCAAGAAGTCATTGAAAATAATCACGACTGAAATATAATACTCGGCAATGTTTAACAAAGAATTTTTCAAAAGCTCCAATACTTAACAAAAATGCATTCAGAGTATAGTATGGGAATCGGCCTTGCTCTATAATTATTATTATCTATTTACAGCTTATTCTGGTATAAAATAAACAATTCAAGTTTAATTTTCTATATAAAAAATAAATATGAAAACCAATATCAATCACAAAAAAAAAGAAATTGGTTTATTTTGGTTAAAAATTAATATATCAAATAATTGTGTTTAAATATTCATGTTATTAATATGTGTAAACGTCTTCTTCATTCAATAATTATAATTTGTTTCTATACGCGTACTGTGATTTTCTTAACAGTTCAGAAATGACTGTCGCCTAAGAATTGTAAATATTTGTTGATACTACTCAGAAAGAATTGCTCATCAATTTCAACTGCCTTTTATATAGTTGCATTGTTTATTGGTAATCTCATTCTGAGTAAGCTCCGCCCATTAAATTAATTAACCCCGCCCACTGGAACTGCTGGGACTGCTTTCTGGGACCGCTGGGACTGCTGGGACCGCTGTGGGACTGCTCTGGGACTGTTGTGGGACTGCTCTGGGACCGCTCTGGGACTGCCCTGGGACCGCTGTGGGACTGCTAAAGCAGTCCCAGAAAGCAGTCCCCGGGACTGCTCTGGGACTGCTTTGTGTCAGGTTGGGTCTGGTTGGTACTGTATACCGGTAATAACTTAACTTGCTATTCATATTCCTCTGTTTTATAAAACAAATTTAGTTGATAGTGAAGACCGGAAACCCAATATATATGATTTTAAAGTACGTATAATGGTTATTCCAAAATTTCCTAAAAGGTCTTTATGTTCCCAATCTTTACAGCCCGTCCCCATTCCCAAAAAGCAGTGTTAGAGCCCTGTGAAAATGAAAACAATTATATGTACAGCAAATAAGAAGTGCCCTATCTTGTAAAAAATGTGATTGGAATAGATAGACCATTTCTTTATCCAGGTGAATATCATTACCGCTACATTTTCAAAATGGTAATTATTTACCGCTACATACTCATTACCGCTGCAAAAAATGTACACATTACCACTACATTTAAAAGTTTACATTACGAATACATTGCCTCTTTCATTAGCCAATGGATTATGCATGTACAGATTGATACAAAGTACATGTACAACATATCCAAGCATAAGACCTTTTTCCACTGCTCACCATGGGAGACAAAAGTACGGCTTAACAGGGTGGCTTTTTCCCACTTTTTTATTAGTCCCCTACTGGTGAAACCAGAGGGAATTATAGGTTTCCTCTGAGTCTGTCCATCTGTCTGTTTGTCCCTCTTTCAGTCTGTCTTTGTTTTCCGCACTTTTTTCTAAACGCTTGCAGATATTGAGCTGAGTTTTGGTATGTAAGTGTATCTTGATGAGTTACAGTTCAAGTTTGCATTTTGTTATGCTTCTGAATCAATGATTTTTAATGGAATTGTGGCAATTTAATTTTTAGTGGGAACCAGATTACACTTGCCGGTAGGGGACTAGTATTGCTAATGCAATACTCTCAGAATGCTTGTTAAATCTTAATTATAGTAGGTATTTAAGTATGCAAGTACAATACTGTACATATAAATGCTTGTTCAAAATAAAGTTTTTCTCGATTTCGGCCCAATGCAACAGAAACCAAAAATTCAAGAACCTATTGGTAATTAATCTGATGTTTTTTAAATAGATTGATCGAAAGTACATGCAATATAATTCGTACTATATAAAGGTACAGTGTTTAATTGATTTGTTACAAAAAAGAGCAATGACCATATCACCAATGCTAATGTAGTGGTAAATATTTTTAATGTATAATAAGTTCCACATTTTTTTTTCACAGTGAAATGGTAAAAAAGAAACTGCTAGCGCTACTGTGCAGACTACCATCAATCAACATGATCAACAAAATCAAGTAATCCTTCTGAGTAAGTGACCTGTAGTATTATCTGTTTTCACCTAGGCCAATATGAAAAGGATGAAAGTTATTATACTCAATACACAAGTTTGGAGATTATAGCTCTCCAACAAGAGAAACACAAAAAGTAGCCATATCAGCGTGAAAGTGGCAGAGATTGTTCATAAAGTATACACAATCATGCATAAATAAATGTCAGAATGATGGCTTAGTTAGGGCCTTTTAAAATGTTATTAGGCTAGCAGACCTCTTTTTATATTCATATGAAGCAGAATTTATTCAAAATCTTACATATGAGAAGAAAACACTTGCTGTGGTCTTGAACTCGACATTGAGATATATCGATGATGTATTATCAATTAACAATAGTTATTTCCATTCATATATCAACTCTATATATACCCCAGTGAGCTTGAAATAAAAGATACCACAGAGTCTGACACATCTGTTTCATGTTTGGATATTATTTATTTCCATCCCTAATTAAAATTTTATAAATTGATTATGTACATGTAATATTAAATGCATGTTTCTTGGAAAGTAATGTTTTAAGTGTTTCCTTACTGCTCTTAAGGATTTTCATGGTATATCAGATTCTTGTTTATTATCCTTTTCTAAGTGTTACTTTTCTCTAAGCAGTAAACAGTTTTGCCCTGCCGTAATAATCTCTCTCGGGTGTTTTCATAATAGGTAATATATTCTCTATGCACTTCCGTTGCATTTACCTAGGGATTTTTTCAACGCACTGACTGCAATGCTGTTTAAGGATTAATTGTGGGATTCTTACGAGATGCAGAGCCAATCCGATAGCATGAACTAAGACAGAAATATATGTAGAGACAGTGTGAACCGACATTTTAGGTTAAAATAAAATAAAAACATGTTTTAAACCCAGAAAGACCAGTGGGGGTACAACGTAAACAAACCAGAGTGGTATACCTTTCTCTCTTATAATGTATAGTGGGATATTTTTTGTGCGGAACGATATCGGGGGAGGGGGGGGGGGGTCCTGTCCACAAGTACCTGTGGATTTGTTTACGTAAACACAGACACCTGCTTGGAATGCATTTTCAGCACAATATCGTAAAATGCTTAGGGTTATAGGGAAAAAAAAATAAGGGACTTAATTTTTGATTTATACCAATCAAATAACAATTAAAATACAGACTATACTTAAATACTTATAAATAAAGCTTATGTGTAAACTGAATTTTCAAAGAAAATTAAAAGTTGTATCCTTCTTTTGTTTTTGAAATAATACGAATATTTTAACTTTTTAAACTTTTTCTTTGGAATAGTTGTGCTGTGAAAATAAGAGATACATCTGCATTTTTGGGGTAGCGTTTTATCCATAGGAGCTGCATTTTTCTCGGGATTTTCCCCCCAAAGGATCACTTCTAGGTAAATATATGCGTTGACCTATAGGGCCGATATTGGTTTCATTCTTTAGAAAAAGCTTATCGATATCCGTTCCGGTTGCTGACTTTAGGCCACATGCGTGTAGTTTCTTGTTTCTCATGTATCATTTTAGTTCTAGTCAACTGTGTGTTCATGTGACCCTACATCGGTATTTACATATACATCCTTTGTATGAGGGTCCTTACTTGATGCCTGGGTAATGGCAACGGGAGATAAAACCTTAACTGACCTTACCACGTTCTTTTCTAATCTGTAAACCTTCCTCCTGCATTTTTGACATAACATGTCGCCAATGCACTCAATTTTCCCAAGGAATGAACTGCATCTACTCTGCATAGCGCAGTATCTCTCCCACTGGCACAACACTACTACTAACCAGAGATGTTCTTGAAAGACAAACACAGCAATTTTTGCTCGTCATGATTTTTTTTCGTGACACCTGCAGTATCAAGTAACACAAAGTGAATGATTCGTGTCCTCGAACAAAGTGTGCTTACACTGAGGTATACAGTTCCAGTTGATTGCGTTTAGTTAAAGAGAATTTTTAATCTGCATTTCCATAAATGTCTTTTATATCAACAGGAAACACACATTTAAAGAAGAAAGTGGAAGTAAAATGCAAAAAGCCTGTATAAAAAAATTAAAGTTCGTGTTAATACAGGTGTAAAATTTGAAAAAAAAAAAAATAAAAGTGTGCCAACAGGTGGATTCGAACCAGGACATAAAAAAAGGTCCATTCTAAGAATCTGCAGTCTATTTCTCTGCGCTATAATGACTATGAAAATGCACTCCATAAATGTAATCCAGTATGATAGAACTAGGTTTTTCGCATTTTTTGTAGGTTTTTCACGAATTTCGACCCTAAGGCAGGGGTGCCCCTAAAAAAAATCTTAATTTAAATCATTCTTTAGATCAAAATCTATATATATTTCATAATTTAATTTAGGGGCAGGCCTGCCCTGAAGGACTTCTATGCCAAAATTCACGTAAAAATTAGTGCTTTAACGGACAAAGTTCTGTTTTGACCAACTTTGGAGGTTAATTTCAAAGTTGCAAATAAAAAAAAATTACGTTTAAAATGCAAATTTGAAAAATTTAGACAAATATACAATAGAAAACAACTAAAGAACATTGATTTTTAAATGTGACTTTTTCCGGAAAATAGTTCTTTCCTATAGGTCAAATCTTTTGTTATAATGAATACGTCCTTTGGGGGTGTGTCTATTAAAAGACTATGGCCTTTACACGTGACAATATGGTACTTCGTCAATATATCTAAATGTTAAAGGTGACAGCATGTATTTTCTTCTTCTCATGTATAAGATTTTAAATAAATTCTGCTTTGTATGAATACAAAAATAGGTTTGATAATAACGGAGCACAATTGGTACCTATAGAAATTCCAGGAGATTTTTGGAAGACCTTGTCTCTAAAAACCACATAGATATTGTCAATCAGAAACTCAAGAATCTTTTTAATATCAACTTCAGAGTACTTGTGTGTACAATCAGTGTTTTTTACATTCATACAAAAAACAAAAAAGCATACCAAGGGTGATAATCTCAAGATTTAAGCATTGATCTGTTCGAAATAATTTTTTTTATTGACATACGTTTAAGGATAAACAACAATACTTGATATCGCGATTACTGAAATTAGCGGAACTCTTTCACAGAGGTAGGAAATGTCTGTTGGATGGGGGCAGTGTACTTTTGAATGCAATGCATGATCGATCATTGTGGAATTTATAAGGACTGATAAGAAAGAAATCCTAGAGAAATATCTTGCTAAACATGCGCTGAACCAGCCTAATAAATTTTTGAGAGGAGCTAGTCCTATATGTTACATTTTTTACGATACTTTTTACTAAGCGGACTTTTCTTAATAATTCTAAATGAAAATCGTTACTTTTGAAAGTTGATAAAATACTCTAAACTTTCCTTATTTGACAATCTACTATTTGGAGTTCAACTCTTGGCAATACATTGTAGTTTGGGCATAATGATTGTTCGAATCATTCCATTGTCACCACTGTAATGTTATGCCCCAGAAATCTTGTGAGATTTAGAGCTTCCTCGACTCCCATGCTAAAGAGCGGTTGTAAGTTAGATAACTGTGAGATACTCGCAATACTGGTACTTTTAATTCAATTCACATGTGCTCATCTTTGAAATGCATTCACAATTCTTTATAAAGTTGGTGACATTATGTATGAAAATATCATAAAGTCTAGTTACATGTTTAAACTATGCTTGTGGTATGCATTTTTTTTTTCTTGAACAGTGAAGGAAGGGATGAGAGAGTTCATTGAGTGCCATAAACTTTCATTTATATGCTATTTTTTAGAGATGGAGTACTACACAAGCACAATTTTTTAAAGAAAGAAAAGTCAATGGAATGAAAGCCAAAGAAAAGGTGAAGTGAATTGTCACTCATTATATTTTAAATTTAATGTGGACATGGTCATTATTTTAGTTATGTCATAACCTTCTTATCAATTTTAAGCAGTGCAGACAGATGCATTTCTTATTGCTTTGAATAGAATAAATTATCAAAAAAGTTTGTATATGTTTTTTGATATTGAATTAAGGACATACGCAATGTAATTTGAACTTTATTGTCTTTTTCCCTGGAGTTGAAGAGTTCCAATACTTAAAGAAACTGTGTGCTACATTTTAATGTCTATATATGTTGTTGTACATTTCTTTTAAAACACATTTGGATAAACAAAACATCTAGAATATATGTTCAGTAATTTTTGTATATTTTTCTTTGAATTTTACAAGAATTTTCATTGATATCTTTTCAAAACCCCTGGTAATGCAAGCTGATTTTTTGTCTAAGAACATCTGATGGCACTATAATCTTAAATTAAGAATATCTTAAAAAATCATCAGTAGGTAAGGTACGTTGCATATGTCCTTAAAATTAAAAAAAAAAAAAAAAAATTATCAATTACTGCAGTTTTGAACTTCAGTACACTAGAAATTTTTCTGCCCTGCCATGAATATGGCTGGGGCATATAGAGTTTGTCATGTCCGTCTTCCGTCCTTCCAACCTTCTGTCTGTCCTTCCATTCCGCTTTGCTTTTAGCTCAGTTCAAAACTAAGTTTCAAAGAAACTATTCAAGATATTTTTATCAATCTTCATATGCTGATACATATTGATGAGAGGTATTCAATTTCATCAACATTTTTTTACCTTGACCTTTCCTTTAACTTTGACCTCACTTTTCTTAAATTAGTGTTTAGCTCAGTTTTAAAGAAACCATTCAAGATAGTGTAATGAAACTTCATATGCTGATACATACTGAATCAACATTTTTTTACCTTGACCTTTCCTTTGACCTTGACCGTACTTATCTTAAATAAGTTTTTAGCTCAGTTTTAAAGAAACCATTCAGGATAGCGTAATCAAACTTCATTTGCTGATACATACTGATGAGAGCTATTCAACTGTATCAACATTTTTTAATCTTGATCTTTCCTTTGACCTTCACCTCACTTTTCCTAAATTAGTGTCAAACTTCATATGCTGATACAGACTGATGTAAGGCATTTGACTGTATCAACATTTTTGACCTTGACATTTCATAAGACCTTGACTTCATTTTTCCTGAAATAGTGATTAGCTCAGTGTTAAATAAACGGTTTCCATTCAAAATATTTTTATCAAACTTATTTTGCTTATGCGTATTAGTGAGAACTATTCAACTGCATCAAAAAATGTATGACCTTGAACTTTCCTGTGACCTGGACCTCACTTTTCTTAAATTTGCATTTTGCTTAGTTTTAAAGAAACCATTAAAGATAATTTTATGTGAGCTTATGCACTTAACAGAATTTGGTGAGAATTTATCATCTATATCCAACTTTTTTGATTTCAATGTTAAAGAAACTATTTTAAGATATTCTCATCAAATTTCATACACTAAAAATATTTTTGTGTTGCATTACTAATATGCCCACATGGTGCAGTGGTTAAAGCTCTAGAGTTGCGGAGTAAGGAGTTGATCCTTATGTCACTGGTTCGAATCCCACTGTGGGACGTGGAGACCATATAAACCGAGGTCCCATGTCACAGTAGGTGCTGGCACGAAAAAGATCCCTCACTGCTTAATGGCCCTTAGTGCCGAGTATAGGTCAAAATTTGCAGCTCTCCACTGGCAAGTGGTGGCGTCTCCATATGAGTGAAAAATTCTCGAGAGGGATGTTAAACAATAAACAAGCAAATAAAAATTAATATACCCTCAGCGGGGCATTCATGTCCTATGGACATATTTCTAGTTTTGCCCTCTTGTACATTTGTACATGGATATACTTTTTATTCTTGCTCTGTAAACAACAACAAAAACATTATACCATATAATATGCACAAAATTATATGCTAGGAATGTATTGTGAAAGATGCATTTCAGCTGACAAATGTAGCATCTTTAAGCCAGCTTTTTAAAATTTTTTCTGAATGACTTTCAGGTACTTCTTTGATATATTTGCAACTCATTTATAGGGATGTATTAGTATGGTAGCCTGTCTGCCAACACGTTGTAGATGAGATTCTAGCACAAATTGTGTGAAATGGTTCTCTTAATTGGACATGAGAAGGTCACCATTTTTTATCAAGATAAAAATTACTTGTATGTCTTGTAATAACATTATTTAATATATCCCTTTCATAGCACACATGTTCCTTTCAAAGAGAAGAAAACATTTATAATTTTTCAAGGTCAATAATCTCATGGATGAAATGCAAACTGTACTATTTGAAATAGGTGGTATAGGTATTTCAGAGTCTGTATTACATCTTGCCAGTTTATTGTTCGAGGGAATATTCTCATCAAATAAACTATGTAAAGATTTGCTTTTTAATGCAAAGTATTTCTATAAGTAATAACTTCATTTCAACTTACAATGAACAGTTAATCAATGCATCTCACTTTGTATATAATGCATTTTAGAACACACATTTGTGGTTTAAAACATGATGTAATAGTTTAATAATGCTATTCATTTTTTTTAATTGACAAGAAATGAAAATGTAATGATTATTTCAAAATAGTGTTTTATTCCTCTTATGTATATTTATAGATATGTAAAAGATTGTTATTTTTATTGATGTTATGTTTGTGTACAAAATACTAGTTATTTATTACTTTATACAAAACTAATGTTGTGAAGATTGATAATAATAGAAGTCCTTATGCATATATTGAACAGTATACAAATGTCACCAATGTAATACACATTTACAAATAAAATGAAATTTTACATGACTTGCACATATTTGCATTATTTGTTACAGTTATAACAAATCTAATTCATTGTATTTATGGTTTCCAATATTTATTGTCTATTCAAACATGGAAAAATTATATGTGTAATGATGTTAAAGACACAAGAATATGAATTAAAATAAGACTGTATGAACTACCTTTAGATTTATGAATTCAGTAGACAGTGACTGTGACAAATGTGTATTTAGGATAGAGATCTTAGACATGAGAAGAAAAGGGGTTGTTTTGCAAACTTTTTTTTGCATGGGGAAATACTGACATTTTTATACAACAACAAATGAAGTTACTGGAATTGTGAAGTCTACGTGTCTTCTGTGAGTAGACATCTTTTGAAACAAAGGTAGCTTGTGGCCAGAAATATTCTAGACCCAGTAGTAACGGTCTTTTGCACAAGGTCTTAGTCACTGTATATCAAAGTATTAAATACTTACCAATAATTGTTTGTAACCTCAGAGTATGGTCCTAACACAGGTTAATACAGGTCAAGGCCATAGGGTTTAGAAATGTAATAAATATTCAGATAAACACATAATTCTGTTCGTTTGTTTGTTATACATCCTTTAAGAATTTTTCACTAGTATTGAGACACCACAACTTGCTGGTTGAGGGCTGCAAATTTAGACCTGTACTTTTGAGCAGTGAGAGGTCTTTTCTTGTCCCAGCATATACTGCAACAAGGGAATTTGGTTTCATTGGAAGAACCGGTCTCCACGTCCTTCAGTGGGATTTGTACCTATGTCTTAAGGAACAAGTCCTTACTCCGCTACTCTAGAGCAAATGCTCTGACCACTGCGCCAAGCAGGCAATCACATTATTGTTATACTAGATGTAAATCAAGGCAAAGGGATAATTGTGACTTGGGGATTTATAACAACCCTGCATCAAGTTCAATTTTTGTCCACTATAAAATAACTTCCAAAGATTATATTATCTTAGGGTTCATTATGCTCAGAGTATATGACATAAACTGGATATATAAAATTCTAAAATACAATTTTTTTTAAGAAAAGTACAAGGTTATAGTTTCAAGAGGTTATATCTAGCATGTACAGGTGATTGTGGCTAGATGATGATTCTATACCATAAGTCATCATGTGCGTACGAAGTTTTTAAATCAATGTGTTTCTTTGGTGGTGGATGAAATATTTTCTTAACGTTACAATTACTATCGGTCATTTACTATATTTCCATAAGATTCAGGATATGAAAATTTGTCTACGAATAGACATCACCCAATTAGTTCCTTCTAGTTAAAATAAGGAATCATCATACTGGGTTTTAAAGTGCCTAATATTTTACTTAAGATAAATGCAAATTGACCAATAAATACTGGTATGAGAAGTACATTTATGCATGTGTAGTTTTTTATTTAAATAATTAGAAAAAAGAAAATGGTCTACATAATCATGTATATATATATATTCTGGTCTCCTTTATGCATTATATATACTTGGTCTACTTTAACCCTTCGGGATCCTTATAAAATATATACATGTCTACCTAAAACCTCCAATGTATTTACAAAATATTAAGGAGACCAGAAATGTCGTATATTTTTCAGGAAGCAACATTTAGAGCTGAGGGGGTAAAATTTTCATTTTTGAAGCCTATTAGAATAAATTTGGGTGAAAGTGTGAATCAGAATGTCTCAAATAAAAGAAATGAAAAATGTCTACTTAATGCCTCAAAATAAGTGCGGTCTACTTTATGCCAAAGTCCACCTTATATATATATATATATATATATATATATATATATATATATATATATATATATATATCGAATTCACAGAAAAGCATATTAATCGAGCACAAAGTGCGAGTTCGATATGCTTTTCTGTAAAGTCCATATATCTATGGACTGACCAAATGAAAACATTAAGGGCTACATTTGTTATAGTATGTTTTACAGAGATCGACAAAGCAAAATTTGAAAATAATGGGGACAAGCCACAGTTTTCCCTCTCGTCTTTTTTAACACATATATGTAGTGACTAGAGATAAACAGAAATTAAGCTGTTTAATGTCATTGTGTTTCTTTATACTAATACATGTAGAGTGATTTAAGGAATGTACTAATTTCAAAGGCAAGATTTGTTGCATTATATAATTTCATTTTATGAAAAACATCTATTATGTTTTAATATAAAGAAGATCATTATGCAAGGCATTGTTACATCTTACCAATTATTATACAAAAAAAGCATAATAATAAAGAGGAGATAATTTTTTTTTCAGAAAGATAAAGCCATATTAGCTATTGTGAAGTCATCATTATTGTTGTTTTATAGAAGATTATTTCCATTTTAGAAACATCAAGTCGATATGCATTTTAGAATCTATAAATAGTAACACAAGTATATATGCTGCTATATATTTAATCATATGATCAAATTTGAACAAATCAGAGAGCTTGGAATAATAGAGAAGAATACGTTATATCATTATATCACTTATTCGAATAGGTAATATCACCTTTCCGAATTAGTGATATCACCTTTTGGAAATAAATAGGTGATATCACCTATTGGAATTGGTGATATCACCAAGTAGAGTTGAATGGGTGATATCACCTATTGGAATTGGTGATATCACCCCACCCCCTTTGTTTCGAATTGGAGATTTCACCAATTTGAATTGGTGAAATTACCTATTTGCATTTCTTATAACAACAAAAATGAATGTTCCCTTCCTCAAGACAATCTAGCTTTAATGCACAGTTAAAGATGAACTTTCAAAAGTCTTTCTAAGAGCAATTTTATTTCCTTAGCAGTGATTCAAAATTGATGAAATTGATTTCAATATTCTTGCACAAACTTTAAAAAAAATTGATTTGAGCCATAACCTCTATTATTTTGGCGACCGTTCACGGTAGCTCAGCGGTAGAGCGCTCGCTCCGTGATCGGGAGGTCGTGAGTTCGAATCTCGGCCGCGACTGACTTGTCGACAAAAAAATGGGTAGCACCTGTTCCTTCGCCATGCGCTCGGCACTTTGAAGTGAAAGTTGCGGGTCCTTCGGATGAGACCTTAAAAACCGAGGTCCCGTGTAACGACAGGCGTTGGTACGATAAAGATCCCTCACTGCTCAATGGCCCTAAGTGCCGAGTAAAGGTCAAAATATGAAGCCCTTCACCGGTATTATGGTGACGTCTTTATATGAGTGAAAAATTCTCAAATGGGACATAAAACAACATAAAATCAATTAATCATCATTTTCTTACTCTTTATATATTTATCATTTATTCATTTCGTAATCGATATGTAATACTCGGCACTTACGACCTTGAGCTACCATGACGATTGAGAGTAAATAAATAAATAAATAAAATTGATACAAATGATAAAGAAAATTGATAAATAGATAGATAGATTAAATAAATAAAAACCGAAATAATAATTATTAATTATTGCTATGTTAGTTATATTTGAAGTTGTTAATTTATTACCAATTGAAATATGTTAAAGAGAAAAAAAGTAAATCTGTTTTCGATCAAGCGTTAAATAAATACGGTGTATTAAATAATAAATTAATTGCATTAAGTTAGAAGAAAACAACAACCAGGAATTTCTGTCAAGACTGTATGTACTGGTTTGATTGATTTTTTTAGTTTAAATACGAGTCCTAAATTTTTCAGTCATATTTCGGCAATAAACATTTACGTTCTATGGCCGATTTTGAATGTTAAGTTTCTGTGGCTGCCCTCAGTGAGCCTACTCTTTTTTGAAATCAAGACAAACAACCTTTTTCTTGCCAAGGAGTTGTAATCCTTGACTCCGCGCACCATTTCACCTCCCATCCGACAGACTTGATATAAAAAACCGATAGTGAGAATTAAATATCCACTTGATATCAAAAACCGATAGATAGAATTATATATCCACTTGATATCAAAAACCGATAGAACAGAATTGTATATCCACTTGATATCAAAAACCGATAGATTAGAATTGTATATCCACTTGATATCAAAAAACGTTAGATAGTAGTATATACATTTGATATCAAAAACCGATAGATAAAACAATATATCCACTTGATATCAAAAACCAAAATATATAGAATTATATATCCACTTGATATCAAAAACCGATAGATAGAATTATATATCCACTTGATATCAAAGAACCCATAGATAGAATTATATATCCACTTGATATCAAAAACCGATAGATTAGAATTGTATATCTACTTAATAACAAAAACCGATAGATAGAATTATATATCCACTTGATATCAAAAACCCATAGATAGAATTATATATCCATTTGATTTCAAAACCGATAGATAAACTATATATCCACTTGATATCAAAAACCGATAGATAGAATTTTATATCCTCTTGATATCAAAAACTCATACAAATATTTTTTATATCCACTTGATATCAAAACCGATAGATAAAACTATATATATCCACTTGATATAAAAAAAAACCCCATAGATAGAATTATGTAACTATCCACTTGATATCAAAAACCAATAGATAGAATTATATATCCACTTGGTATCAAAAACGCATAGATAGAATTATATTTCCACTTGATATCAAAAACCCATAGATAGAATTATATATCTACTTGATATCAAAAATCCATAGATAAAATTATTTATAATACCTCTGCAAGTTTTTTCTTTATAAAAATATGATGAATAAAAGTGCTATTTTTCTTAACAGACCGAAGCGTGGAATAAATTTTGTGCTATTTGCCCATGGTGAAATAGTAACCGAACTATTCACCCACAGCATTCTATTTCCTCGCATGTCATCTCGGAACTCTTCTGGTTTTAACCGAATCGTAACGTTACGCAAGTAAAGTCTGCTTCGGTATAATAAAACACCTATTTACTGTCTAATCGGATAATAGCAAGTTTTTGGTCCCCCTCTACAGCAACTATTTCCCGCTACGCCTCGGGAAATAGTTGCTGTCTTGGGGGACAATAAACTTGCTATTGTCCTCATAGCCAGTCAATAGGTGTATAATATCCACTTGATATGAAAAACCCATAGATAGAATTATATATCTTCATATAACTATAGACGGACAGACAGACGGGATGACGAACAGACAGAGGATCAACGGACATATTACAGCTGCATAATTTCTTTGGGTGTTTTTGAGCTTAGAATTAAAACTCTTAGATCGTCTTACTCCTTGCATAGCCTTTATCTTCCACTCTCCTAACACTGGATGATCTGACAAGATCAAGTTTTCTGTAAACACTCCGTCATCAGGCACTTTATTCTTCCACCGCGCTATTAAATTTCCGAGAGGGTCCTAGAAAATTTAGAAAAATCCATAAATATAAATGTATTTTACATTTAATGTCTCCATGAAACGTAATGTATAGTAGAACCTAGCCAGCTACTTACATGGATTTCGATATCAAAGTTCTGATTTACAAGGGATAAATCTGGAGAAGTTCCGAAGACGCTGAAATGAACTGAAAACAGAAAGAAAAAAGATATAGAAAGATGATATTGAATATAAATATCAGCAAGCATCGCCAAAGTTTCTTATTTTGGCAGTTATCTCCAATTGAACAAAGATTGTGCATATTTTAACACGTGCCTAATGAAAACCTCAATTAAGTCATTAAATAAACGTATTTGGTACGAAATGCACAAGAAATTTGAAAAAAAAACCCAATGAAACGCTCACTTGTTTGTCCAGGTTTGTAGATGTTTTTATCAGTTTTGATGATCAAAGAGGAGTTTTTAGGATAAAAATATACTTTTGTGTAGTTACTAAAATTAATGCCCCCCTCTCCTTGAACTTTAATGGCGTACTGCTTAGAGTTTAAAGTAGAGGGCATCTGTAAAAAAAAGTCAAATAGAAGAGATATATTTCAACTGAATGAAATTTTATGTACAAGTGCTTTATCCAGAACATCTAAGAAAATATAGAATTACGCTAAAGTTACATTTCAATGTATTTTTGAAAATTTATTCATGATTAAGATGTACAGTAATATAGAGTAACAAAGAATAACCAGAGAGAAAAAACTTACTAGTAACCGTATTGAAAGCATTGTTGGATTTTCAGGATCTAGAAGGGCAATAGAAAATGAATGATAATGAAAAAAGTGAAGATAACGAACAATTTTCTTTCTCATAAAATCCATAAACAATATAAATATGTAAACAGGGCATAAATGCGGATCCCTGGTTATTCAAGAGATGAGATAAGGTGCCAAGGAGGAGTGAGCATCCCTTGTTGACCGGTTATACCCGCCTTGAGCACATGCATTGATCAATAGACTGAATATTCTGTGGTCACATTAAATATAAAAACAAAGGCCTAGCATTTGGTATGAAACAGGTCAGCCAAATGATATGTTACATTTGCTAACAAGAAAATTATAAAAGCATTCGAGTTTTTATGTATACCTCATTCTCATTTTAAGCTTATACAATTTATACACATTTAAAAAAAAAACAGAACAACCGCCACTTTTTTTCTTTTATGAAAATATTACATTCATCATATTGTAACGTGTAAATCTACTGGGTTCTTCAAGGGTAAAAGGGTATCATATATATATTTTTTCTCTTTTACTCTGAGTTACTTATTGAAACTATGTACGATGATAAAAATGGTAGGCCAGGCCATGGTTATTTTGACGTTAACTTGCTGTGTATTCATTCAAAGCAGAGTTTCTATTGTTTTGTAAAGGACCTTTCGCCATTATTTAAGAGTGCTTTGTTCCTAGTACCTCACTACAATTCATCCACACTGTTCTCTTTACAATAAAACTTCTACTACCAACATTTGCTCTCTGTATACATGTATATTTTTTCTTTATTAAAGGCTGTATTGTTTTACTCTCTAATTTCTGCTTTCTTTCGGAGACTTCAACTCAGTCAGACATTGCAGCTGTAAGTGCACCCTCGTTATATATTTTGCCCAATCTACCTACCAGACCAGGAGTGAAACCCCCTCAGATTCAGAGTTAGTAGGCATGGTCCAATCTACCTACCAGACCAGGAGTGAAACCCCCTCAGATTCAGAGTTAGTAGGCATGGTCCAATCTACCTACCAGACCAGGAGTGAAACCCCCTCAGATTCAGAGTTAGTAGGCATGGTCCAATCTACCTACCAGACCAGGAGTGAAACCCCCTCAGATTCAGAGTTAGTAGGCATGGTCCAATCTACCTACCAGACCAGGAGTGAAACCCCCTCAGATTCAGAGTTTGTAGGCATGTTCCAATCTACCTACCAGACCAGGAGTGAAACCCCCTCAGATTCAGTTAGTAGGCATGGTCCAATCTACCTACCAGACCAGGAGTGAAACCCCCTCAGATTCAGAGTTAGTAGGCATGGTCCAATCTACCTACCAGACCAGGAGTGAAACCCCCTCAGATTCAGAGTTAGTCTGCATGGTCCAATCTACCTACCAGACCAGGAGTGAAACCCCCTCAGATTCAGAGTTTGTAGGCATGGTCCAATCTACCTACCAGACCAGGAGTGAAACCCCCTCAGATTCAGAGTTAGTAGGCATGGTCCAATCTACCTACCAGACCAGGAGTGAAACCCCCTCAGATTCAGAGTTAGTAGGCATGGTCCAATCTACCTACCAGACCAGGAGTGAAACCCCCTCAGATTCAGAGTTTGTAGGCATGGTCCAATCTACCTACCAGACCAGGAGTGAAACCCCCTCAGATTCAGAGTTAGTAGGCATGGTCCAATCTACCTACCAGACCAGGAGTGAAACCCCCTCAGATTCAGAGTTAGTAGGCATGGTCCAATCTACCTACCAGACCAGGAGTGAAACCCCCTCAGATTCAGAGTTAGTAGGCATGGTCCAATCTACCTACCAGACCAGGAGTGAAACCCCCTCAGATTCAGAGTTTGTAGGCATGGTCCAATCTACCTACCAGACCAGGAGTGAAACCCCCTCAGATTCAGAGTTAGTAGGCATGGTCCAATCTACCTACCAGACCAGGAGTGAAACCCCCTCAGATTCAGAGTTAGTAGGCATGGTCCAATCTACCTACCAGACCAGGAGTGAAACCCCCTCAGATTCAGAGTTTGTAGGCATGGTCCAATCTACCTACCAGACCAGGAGTGAAACCCCCTCAGATTCAGAGTTTGTAGGCATGGTCCAATCTACCTACCAGACCAGGAGTGAAACCCCCTCAGATTCAGTTAGTAGGCATGGTCCAATCTACCTACCAGACCAGGAGTGAAACCCCCTCAGATTCAGAGTTAGTAGGCATGGTCCAATCTACCTACCAGACCAGGAGTGAAACCCCCTCAGATTCAGAGTTAGTAGGCATGGTCCAATCTACCTACCAGACCAGGAGTGAAACCCCCTCAGATTCAGAGTTTGTAGGCATGGTCCAATCTACCTACCAGACCAGGAGTGAAACCCCCTCAGATTCAGAGTTAGTAGGCATGGTCCAATCTACCTACCAGACCAGGAGTGAAACCCCCTCAGATTCAGAGTTTGTAGGCATGTTCCAATCTACCTACCAGACCAGGAGTGAAACCCCCTCAGATTCAGTTAGTAGGCATGGTCCAATCTACCTACCAGACCAGGAGTGAAACCCCCTCAGATTCAGAGTTAGTCTGCATGGTCCAATCTACCTACCAGACCAGGAGTGAAACCCCCTCAGATTCAGTTAGTAGGCATGGTCCAATCTACCTACCAGACCAGGAGTGAAACCCCCTCAGATTCAGTTAGTAGGCATGGTCCAATCTACCTACCAGACCAGGAGTGAAACCCCCTCAGATTCAGAGTTAGTAGGTCCAATCTCATAACATAACCATGAAATATATGGAGATAACAATCTGTATTCAAGCTCAAAAGTCCATTTAAACAATACAAATCAGGAGCAATGAAGTAAACACGGACCTCTACAACCTTGATATGGGGTCAGATGCCAAGGAGGAGTGAACATCCCCTGTCGACCGGTCACCCCCGCCGTGTACTCCTTGTCATGATCGGGAAATAACGGAAAAATCTGTCGACAATTCAGTGTGTAAAAAAAAAGGCCTAACAATTAGTATGAAAAACGCTAGTCAGCATTTGACTTAATGATAGATTGTATTTGCTGACAAGGTCATTGTATCGACCACAGAACTTACGAAATGAAGACTTTAAACGAGACTGTAAGAAATACAAGGTGTAGTCTTTAACTTAACAACAATTATTTTTTTCTTTTTGAGGGAATGTAACATTATTGCTTTCAACCACAAATGATACCACTAGTATTCCCGGCTAAAAAATAGCTTATTTGTTTACTAAACGTTTTATTTTTTATTTTGGAAAATTAAAAGAAAGATGATACATGTATATTTAGTATTAAAAACATTATTATATCGCAGATTTCTTATCTTCGTAAAAAAAAAAAAAATCAGAAATCTCCCTAAGCAGTTTCTTTTATTTTCTTTTTCTTTGGAAAACGATATTTAAATTACATGTTGAATTTGAAGTTTACGTGACAATTAGTAATATCAAATGCATATTAAACTTAGTCTATGCAATGCAATTTTTCGCTTTAAAAAGACTGGTTACCAATATATCTTTATTATTTAGTGTGTATAGGGTCATTAATTGGTGACATTGTACCTCTCTGGTCGTCTTTTTCATTTCTCTAGACCAGCGAGCTACTGAACTGAAGCTCGGTCAGGGTATGGAAATCGTCTCTTCCAAAGATTCAGTACGAAAATGTGACAAATTGCGTATCTTAGAGATGGGTATCTTGGTTGCTACTATCAAATGCATTGTCAAATATCTGACACTGATAAATTTGTAAATTTCAAAGAAAAGAATCAAAATTCCTAAACAATATCATTATCACAGACAAGAGTGGGCTGCACTTCTTCGAGCCCGAAGGAAAATGCAAGTCAAGGATCGGAAAACGCCCAGTACATCGTCTCCTAGAAAGCAGGCTCCTAATTTTATGGACAAAGCAATGTTCATGATTTATTCTATGGATAGTTAGCGTATATACAGTGTATCTTTCCTCATCCTTTAATGTAGTATTTAAAAATGTTAATTAATGATCAATGCATTATTATGTATTAACCAGTGCTGTCAATGATATTTGTTTACATTCTCCCCCTGTTTTTTCTTACCTGTCACCCTCCTTTCAGAGACGATAGTGCTATTTTTGTTATCCAAAAGACTGACCACGACCGTGGTTCCAGGGGCACTCGTCGCGTCCAGAAGCTGGACAATCACATCCAAGTTCAGGTTGGGACGGATTGTCCTTGGGAACATGACAAGGTACGAACTAAAAGATACAAAGAAGTTACTGAACCCAATTTACATTGCTAGCTAGGACAATTTCTAAACAGGTGAATTTGGAAGCGAATACACTCTAACATATTTTGCTATACACATATTTACAAGACATAATGTACAATTTACGCTTTATATGAGGAGCCGTGCTTATATACATTCACTGCCAAGCTCCCTTTGGAAAGAAGAGTTTCATTTAAAAAAGATCTGCATTATTTGGTTAATTTTTGAAGAGCCTTATGTAGCTATCTAGCAATGGGGATCATCACAAAATCGTAAAAAAATATACATATCTGAGTTTTTCTTGCATCCTTATTCATACACACGATCAAACCGATCTGAATCAAAAAGGTCTAAAGGTCATTTTTTACATTCATAAGTAACTTTTCTTAACCCAAGGACACGTTTTTATTAATATTGGCTCGGTGGATTTTGAATGAGAAAAATGTTAAGAGTTAGCTGATATAACAGTATTGAGTGAGGTAGTGGGGAAAAAAACCACCAATTCTTTTTTTAACTTAGTTGAGCTCAAAAGTTAAAATAAACTTACTTTTTGGCATGGGAAGAAGAAATCCATGTGAAGAAAATTAAAAGGAAAACTCCAAGTTCGTCCATTTCTTTAAATGAATGATTTACGCATACTATTTAAAAAGACTGAATATATGTAGTTAACATTTTAACGTGTTTTATATTTCTGAAAACCTTGGGAACTCCTAAATAAGATTCCCCATTTTTATTTGCAATATACATGTTATCAATCTCAAAGTTCAACCTCAAAGTAATGTTACTCAATGGAAAAACCGGTAAGACATCATTTAATACAAAAGGTGAATTAGTTAGGTCTTAATGCCTTTCGTTAAAACTTTTAGTACAAAACACAGAAGTATATGTATTAAAAAGTATTACCACATCAAACTATTGGAATGGAATGTGTAAGAAGTTAATGAAGATTTTTCCAGAGATGCTACTGTTTTGTATTTGAAGATGTTTCTATAAATTGTTTTTCAAGACTTGTTTAATTATTCTCAATATGGTCAATTCATCTATTCCAAAATGTATGTTAAATAGTACAATAGTAAAGGTGACCATTTTCTCTGTATAACGCTTCAGTAAACACACTTTACTTAATTTTCTGTCATCAACCACAGAAAATATCCCTAGCTGTGAAAAAATCATTGGAAACCGTTTAAAGAATGTTTTGATAATTGAAGAAATAAAAATTAATTTCGCATAAATTTGAGTTTCTTGTGTCAAGTCATGTCTGTGTACAAAACGTAATTTCACTTGCATATAAATTTAAAATACAAAAGTATCATAATGTGCTTCTCACCAAACAGCTGGTTTTGTAACTGGTTTTTAAAGAAGCTGTTTTAGGCCATCATTAAAAATATCTTTGTTTCCCCTAACCCGACCCAAAAATCTCAAGTTGGGTAGGTAGGTAGGCAAATAGTTTTTTTGACAGCAGCTTTGAAAATACGTTCTTAAAATTAAATGGAATGATACCTTTAAAAATACATGTAAGTTAAATACAAAAGAAAGCAATTTGTATACAGCTAGAATACCATACAAATGCTGTTTAGACTCAACATTTAAGGTAAATTTATTCAAAACTATTATTTAATCGAAGTTGTGAAATATCTCATACCAGAGCAAATTTGTTGAAATTGAACACATCTGTGTAAAAGATTCTCGGGTACGCATCAGACTTCAGTTTGGACATCAGAGTATATTTTTCATACCTACTGTCAGCTTCCAGTGCTTACATATACAATGTTTTTTTTCAGGGTTCAAATCCCAATGTGGGACGTTGAGACCGGTTCTTCGAATGAAACCATAAAAACTTAGGTCCAGTGTTACAGTAGATACTGGCACGAAAAAGATCCCTCACTGCTCAATGGCCGAAAGTGCCGCGTACAAGTCTAAATTTGGAACCCTTCACCAGACAAATGTTTAAATAAATGTTATTGTCCCGATAATTATCAAAGGAATTAAAGTCAAAGGAACGATCAATCTTCAAGGACCTTATTAAAGAAAAATCAAGGACGTCTCAGAGAGCTTGTATTATAATTTCAAATCTAGCTTTTGGAAAAAGTATGTTAACAATATTTCATTGAGACAAACCATATCTAAAAATGATAAAATGTCATACATAATCTCAAAGTCATGAAGTTTAACCAGTGAATAAAAGGCATGAAGAAAGGATGTTTGAATTCTATTCATTTGGATGAAATATGCATACTTATTTACAACTCCTTTGGTCCCATATTGTAACATAGGAATATTGATGAGCTGTTTACAAGATCAAAACTCAAACAAAATGCATTGAAATTGATTGGTGTGTTCACAAGGTGGACCCTTTGGCTTTCCTAAGACGGGTATCACGAGGAGGGCCTACGGGTCTAAGCATGCTCTCTACGTACTTTAATTTTATGACAGGTAAGTAAATAATACCGAAACACTCTTAATAAGTGATTGTATATTATATCTTATTAAAAAATTGTTTCAAGAGTGTAGGATTCTTATATGCTAAAGACATAAGGTTGATACGTCGCCTTTCTTTTAAAACACGAACTAACCCTTCATGACCACATATTGTTGGCGCCATTTTGTTTCCATCAAACGCTTGAAAATCACAGAATAAAATCAGTCATTCTGATAAAAACGGATTTTGGTGGAATTCTGTTTTATAAAAATTGATGAACATAAAAAAAATATTGAAATAATCTTATGAAAAAAACTTTCCAGTCGGCGCGTTTTAATTGGGTCGGTCGCGTTAGGGCAAACAAAGGTATTTTTTTATTTTGGCCTTATCAGTTTAATATTTATTACATGATATTAAATCTCCATTATATTCAGATCACAGTCATAAATTTGTGGTAAGATTGAATGTTGTTTTGCGTCCCATTCTAGAATTTTTCACTCATATAGAGGTGTCATCTTAAACCGTTGAAGGGCTTCAAGTTGAGCACTGAGGTTTCTTTATCGTGCCAACGCCTACCGTGACATAGGGCCTCGGTTTTTAAGGTTTCATCCGAAAGACCCGTAACTTTCACTCTCGGTGCCAGGCGCTTGTCGAAGAACAGTCACTACCTATGTTTATGTCCTAGGTTTGACGCGGCTCGGCGAACGAGAATCGAACCCTGGCCTCTCGATCACGAAGCTAACGCCCCACAACTAGGTTACCGTGACCAGTTAATTTATATCAGGGTTATCAAATACTTTCAAATACATTAAAATTTTGTCAATTACTTACAATTTCAACTACATTGATTTATACAAATATAATTAATTACTCTTAATTACTTTGAAGAATGTAATTAAATACATTTCAATTACTTTTGTTTCACTTTCAAAAACCTTGAAGAACAAACACATGTAAATTTAACGTAGATGGTATATTTAAAATAAATAATGTCAGGTGCCTGTAATGTTTGTGTGTTTCTTCAACACAAGGTTTAGTCCTACATGTATATTTATCAATTGACTGCTTATATGAAATTTGATTAAAAGCGAGTTTTCAAGAGTTTATGAATCAACCATAAAATACTCTCAAATTATTTCAGCTACAGGTAGCAAGCTTAACACCTTAAATTGCAAATGTTGACGAATAATACTTGTTTCATGTAATAACTATGTCAGATACTTAATGCAAACATGCATATAAAGATCTGTTTAAATGTTAAAATAGTGATTCAATATTTATTTCCTTTTCTAAAGTATATAAATAGTAGAGCATTCTTAATAGTATTTAATAATTCACCTCTAATGGCCATATCTTTGAATTTAAACAGGGCATGGTTTTAAATTATATAAAACTTTGGAGGGTTGTTTTGATAGCGATTTACAGCTGGGAGTTGAAGGGCAACAAGGCAGGTGTTAATGATGCAATAAATTATTTTCTATTCTTTTGTGATAATCAAGCATCAAATAATTGAAATGTTTCATGCCCATACCAATGAGAGGTAGAACGAAATTTCTGATAAACATTAAACTAGTATTAATTCTTTATGTGCATTATAATTATAAAACAAACTAATATTTTAATAAAAAGCCAGTATATCAAATTCATTTATTGAGATATAAAAAAAGTATAAGATTTTGAAAAACAGAAGGGCTTCTTTGAATAAATTAAATGTAAAATGTGACTGTGTTGGAAATATTTTCCTATTAAATACACATAGCATGTACTATGCAAAGTAATTGAAATTACAGAGTATTTTTTTCAATGTAATTAATTACATTCAATTACAAGTAATTGAAAAAATGGTCAATTAAAATCACTTCCAATTACTCTGAAAAATATAATTAATTACACTCAATTACAATTATTTTTTTTTTTCAATTACCCCATCCCTGATTTATATTTAAGAAGTAACAGTAGAAAAAAAAAAAATAATTTCGTTTAATCTTCCTGGCCATTTATTTTATTTTGCACCAATGATAAGATTAATTGAAATTTAACTCTTCGATAGACTAAATGTAAGAGATGATATTGTTAAATGATTTTTAATAATTAACTGGAATAATGAGGACAACAATCTAGCCCTTATATAAATATATATATGTAAGTACATATAATTGAAAACGTCTGACATATGATGTGTTTTATACATAATACAAAATAAGACTTTCACATAAATTATTAATTGTATAAAGAATAAGTTTTTGTTGCATTCGCTGAGTAAAAATGTTCCTTCTAATATTTCTTTTTAACGATCTGTGTACTAAGTACTAGTAACTGTGCGAATCTGTGCACTGATTCATTGTACCAATTTGAATTATCTTTTGATAAAATTTGTCATAATGTCTTATATTTTCAATATTTTAGAGTGAAATGTAATTCTACTTCTTCATTTCCGATTTCTCAAAGATTACTCATTTTGCTACCT